CCCATTTTTCACCTTCAAGTAGGCCCTGCTGTCTGTTACTCCCCTTTTTGTGTCCATGTGTTCTAGTGGTTTGGCTCCCACCTGTAAGTGAGAACATCAAAACAGACATAATATAATCAAAGAGTTATTTTGTGAGAATTAGCAAAATATGACACAGAAAAAATAAATGAGTATCTCCTGTTGGAAAGATGACACCAGTAGACTTGGTTCAATTTGGGGTTTCCACAAATCTTCAACTTGTAAAAAAATGTAACATTTGGGAAGAGTGATAAAGCACAGATTCATCTACCATCTATTATTATTTGTCTGCCTTTATGATTGGTCAATGTTCTATCAACTATGATGATTTTTATGTTTTTTCTTTTCTTAGCCCTACTTTGGAGTCTAAATTACATAGGGCTAAATAACAAAAATTAAAAAAAAAATTCATCAGAGAAGCCAAGAGATTGACTTTAAACTGGAGCTGGCATATTAGAAAAAATCATCTACAAAGCAGGGATAATATTGGTTTCGTATTGTTTTTTTAAAAAAATTAAATTTACAGGAACTTGATTATAGTGAAATCTACATGGGAACATAACTGTGGGTTTAGAGAAGTCCAACCTGTAGCTATGTGATTGCAGTAGACAGAGTTTGGATGTGAAAATGATACATGCAGGTAATTTTCTTATGACTTAGTAATTGGTCATGTCTCATAATATTGAATAAAATTATTTCAAGATTTATAGTGAATATTTGAAGAATCATGAATGTCTGGCCATGGAAAAAATGTCTCTGAACTTAGCTATAAATTGAGTATTATCTGATGCATGCACAGCAGCATTCCATCTTTAAATAGAAATGGCATATACAAACTAGATCCAAACAAGCCTGAGAAGATGCAAATAAATTATATGAACAGGTGGCTCAGTCTACTATAATACCTACTCATGCTGTTCTATTACATCTCTCTCACAACACTGATATGACCTCATGGGGTGTCCACTATGACTGTCAACAGAAGAAAAAAAAATATGGCCCTGGTTTGCAGCTGAGTCTGTATGTTAAACTGGCATCATCCAGAATTAAATGGCTGCTGAAAAACAACTTTATACAAAGTTCATTTTGAAAAACAATGTTAAACAGTGAACTTCACAGTGGGCAGAACCTTGAGCAAAATACATGATTTCCATGGTTAGGAAGAATTTGTGGTTGGAGGCACAAGTCTTCGGTAGTGACTAATGGACAGCGCTAATGGATTCACTGGCTAGTTGAGGTTTGGGAATTGAAGATTAAAGGATTGGTGACTAGGATATCCAGAGAAGACTTTATGGATATATCTCTTGAAATAAACAGAAAATATATTTTTATAGATTTGCTTATTAGAAGACATTCTTTACACAAATATATCCCAATAAACAGATTGATAAGACACATCTTGCTGTGAATGTCATCTTTCTTCATTTATTCAAGTTTATCTAACAGGCACAAATACAATATATTCATAGATGTACAACTAAAAAGCCTTCATTACCTTAAAAATGTAATAGATATAGTCTTGTATGCCACCACAGCATAGCAGCAAACCCAAATTTATGTTGTCTGTAAGAAACACTGACCCCAGCTAGTAATAACCTCCTTTTTAGGCCTTCAGTTCACCAACTTGAGTAACCCAAATTTTCCTAGGGCCATGTCAATTTAAGAAATCCATAACTGTGTTCACAGAGTTAAGTATATCTTCTTGGATGCCAGAGTTTGCATACATGTTGAGTCAAAAATTATGATAATGGAAAGTAAAAATTCTCAAACACCATGGCTTTATGCTGGTCATCAATAAGTTTACCTCCTCTACTTTTTAAAAAACACACGATTTTTCAGAGAAGTTTCAGGTTCTCAGAAAAACGAGTGGAAGGTACAAAGATTTCCCATATACTTTCTGCCTCCACCCATGCATAGCCTCTCACATTATCATTATGCTCCCCCAGAGTAATACATTTACTACAACTGATGAACCTACACTGACACATCAGTATCACCCAGAGTCCCTAGTTTATATTATGGTTCACCCTTGGGGTTTTATGTTCTGTGGGTTTGAATAAATGTTTATTCATATATCTGCCATTATAGTGTCATGCAGAGCATTTTCAGTGTCCTAAAAATCCTCCATGCTTTGCCTAGTCATTCCTCCCTCAACCCAACTCCTAGTAACCATGGACCATTTTACTGTCTCCATGCTTTTTTTTTCTTTTCCAGAATGTTATATAAAATTAGTTGAAATTCTACAGTATGCAGCCTTTTCAGATTGACTTCTTTTATTTAATAACATGAGTTTAAGTTTCCTTCATTTATTTTCATGGTGTGATAGCTCATTTATTTTTAATGTTGGATAATATTCTATCGTCTAGATGTATCACTGTTTATTAGCCCATTCACTTACTGAAGGACATCTTGGAACTTCTAAGTTTTGGCAGTTATGAAAAAAAGCTGCTATGAATGTCTGTGTGTATGCTTTGGTGTTTTCAGTTTATTCGGGTAATTTTAAGAAAGGTAATTACTAGATAATACAGTAAGAGAATGTTCAATTTTGTAAGAAACCACAAAGCTATGTTTCAAAGTAGCTGTGCCATTTTGTATTCCCTCCAGCAATGAATGAGTTCCTGTTGCTCCACATTCTCACCAGCGTCTATTGTTGTCAGCTTGATGTTTGTTGGTGTTTTGCTTGTCCTAGATTTTGGTCACTCTAACTGGTTGGTAGTGGTATCTCACTTTAATCTGCATTTTCCAGATGATATATAATGTACAGAGTCTTTTCACATGCTTACTTGCCATCTGTATATCTCATTTGATGAAAAATCTGTTAAGGTATTTGGTCTACGTTTGGTAATGTTTTTTCATATTTTTATTACTGAGTTTTAAGAGTTATTTTTATATTTTGGATAACAGCTCTTTATCTGCTGTATCTTTCACAAATATTTCTCCCAGTATGTGCTGTGTCTTTTTATTTTCTGGACAATGTCTTTCACAATGCAGACATTTTTAAATGTAGCTTAAATGTTTAACTCATCAATTTGTTACTTCATGGATCGCACTTTGGTGTTGCACCTAAGAAGTCATTGGAAAATGCAAGTTAACTAGATTTTCTCCTATGTTCTCCTCTAAGTATTATATAATTTTATTTTTGCGTGCTGGTCTATGAGCAATTTTTGAGTTAATTGCATGAAACACGTAAGGTCTGTGTCTAGATTCATTTATTTACAACTGGATGTCCATTTGTTCTAGCATGAATTTTTCTTTTTTTTTTCTCTTTCTTCAACTTATATTTTAAGTTCTGGGGTACATGTGTAGGTCTGTTACATAGGTAAACATGTGCCATGGTGGTTTTGCTGCACAGATCAGCCCATCACCTAGGTATTAAGTTCAGCATCCATTAGCTATTCTTCCTGAGACTCTTCCTCCTCCAGTTCCCATCTACAGACCACAGTGGGTGTTGTTCCCCACCATGTGTCCATGTATTCTCATGTTTTTCCCACTTATAAGTGAGAACATGCTGTTTTTGGGTTTCTGTTCCTGCGTTAATTTGCTGAGGCTAACAGCTTGAAGCTCCATCCACGTCCCGGGAAAGGATATTACCTTGTTCCTTTTCATGACTGCATAGTATTCCGTGGTGTACATGTACCACATTTTCTTTATCCAGTCTATCACTGATGGACTTTTGGGTTGATTCCAAGTCTTCACTATTGTGAATAGGGCTGCAAAGAACATATACACACATATATCTTCATAATAGAATGATGTATATTCCTTTGGGTATATACACAGTAATGGAATTTCTACCACGAATTTTGAAAAGACTATCTTTTCTCCATTATATTGTCTTTTCTCCTTTGTCAAAGATAAGGTGACCATATTTATGTGGGTCCATTTCTGTACTCATTATCTTCTTCCAGTGATCTATTTGTCTATTTTATACCTATACCTCACTTTCTTAATTACTATAGCTTTATAGTCCATGTTGAAGTCAGAGAGTTTTAGTCCTCTAACCTTGTTCTTGTTCTTCTTCAATATTGTTTTGGCTATCATAGGAATTTTGCATCTCCATAAAAATTTTAGAATCTATCTGTTGAAATCCAAAAATATACATGCTTCAATTTTTATTGTCATTGCATTGAGCCTATAGATCAATATGGGGAAAAGTGACATTTTGAAAACATTGTGTCTTCTCATCCATGAATATGGACTTTTCTCCATTTACTTAATTCAAAAGACACTTTTATATCTTTCATGAGAGTCTTGTATTTTCTTCATATAAATCGTATACATGTTTTGTTAGATTTGTATGTAAGCATTTCATATTTTAGGATGTTAATATCAATGTTACTGTGTCTTTACTTTCAGTTTTCGCTTGTTCATTGCTGGCATATAGGACATATATTGACTTTTGTGTCTTAATATATCCTGCAACCATACAATGATGACTTATCTATTCTAGAATTATTTTGTTCATTGATTTTAGTTTTCTATATAAACAATCATGTCACCATGAACAAAGGCAGTCTTTTTTCTTCTTTCCCAATCTTACACCTTTTATTTTATTTTCTTGCCTTATTGAACTAGCTAAGAGTGCCTGTACAAGGTTGTGAAGCAGTTACTGAACTTACTGGGAATGTTTAGGGTGTCTAAACATTAAGAATATTATCTATACGGTTTTGTAAATATTCTTTACAACGTTGAGGAAGTTCCCCTCTATCCCTAGTTTACTGAGAGTTTTTATCATGAATTGTTATTGAACTCTATCAGTTATAATCATGTGATTTGTCTTGTTTGGCCTGTTGATGTGATGAATTTTCAGATGTTGAGCTAGCTCTGCATAAACAAATCTCACATGGTCATGGTATCTAATTATTTTTATATTAGTTGAATTTGGTTTGCTAATATTTTGTTAATAAGTTTTGTATCTGTTTTCATGAGTTATTTTGATCACTTGTTTTCTTTTCTTATAACGTCTGTCTGCATTGGGTATTAGTGTCGCTGGCCGCATAAAATAACCTAGGCAGTATCTCTCCGCTTCTATCTTCTGAAAGAGACTGAAAAAAAGTGGTATCATTTCTTCTTTAAGGGTATGGTAGCATTAACCAATAAACCCATCTGAGCCTGGTGCTTTCTGATTTGGAAGGTTATTATTTATTGGTTTCACCTCCATTTTTAGAGCCCAGCTTGTCAACAGCGGAGGCCATTGTGGAGCCCCATGGGAAGAATCACATTGTATCATGTTTTCATGGAAAGGGCAGCAATACATCTTCTAGCAGGTACTTACATTATGTGGATAAACATGTACCTTCACTGCTGAAAACATTTTTCCCAACACCATAAACTCTAGTACTAGAGATGACAATTGAATTTTCACCTGTCCAATGATACAGAAGCGAGCAGTAATTTTTTATATTTATTGTAATGGGAATAAAGCTTTCTTCAACTGATGGAAGAGACTGAATACTTGTTGAACAATAAAATGAATGAATTGTTCTGTTTTTCGTCTGCCTAACACTCTAGATAAACTCTTTACCTCTTTGATCCATATAGACTGCATTAACTAGGCATGCTTGCTGTGTGATTTTTACTTACTTTTGCTTTTACTTAGGTTGAACCAAGGGCAAACAACAGGAGAAAATAAAAATGAAGAGAAGGGTAAAGTCAGTTATTTCTATTTTTCCCTCTTTATGTTTTTCTTTTGTGTTGTGTGTGTGTGTGTGTGTGTGTTATTTTTGTTTTGTCTTGTGTTGTTTTGCTACATCTTAAGCTGTAATGTGGCTACATTACACACTGGATGGCCCTTCCATTTTGGAAGCCTAAACTTATTGTATGGGAAAGCTACATTGAAATAGACCAGTGCTAGCCTATTGCTGGTTTTACCAGTCATCCCAATTCAGATGCCAGAAATGGAAACTGAGCCACCTTGACTCCTCTATATCAGCACATTTATCAGCTGAATATTACCAAATTTAATGTGATATGGATCCAAATAATTGCTCAACTGAGCTTTACTAAAATTCCCGACATAATATTTTTAAACTACTAAATTTCAGATCAGTTTGTTACATAACAATAAATAACAAGCAGAAATTGGTAACAGAATTGGAGTGTTTTAAAAATGCCTGAAAGGTATAACACTGTTTTATAATAGTGGCAGGTGGAAACTAAAAGGTCCTGAAAGAGAATGTTCACAATAGTTGTAGGGGCCTCAGTAAGGCTGTTGTTGAAGGCTTGAAGGTGAGTGAGAAAAATGGCCTTGGAGTCTGAAGAAAACAGAAACATTCTAATGAAATAGCAGAAATTTGTCAAAACTGTTTGCTGTTTGCTATATAACATAGAAAATAAAAAAAAATGATCTCATAAACTTTTGTATCTCACAAGGGATATTTCAGGCATTATCAAAGAAATCCCCTAGTCTTCTAGCTTCCAATGATAAAATATGAGAAATAGTGAATTAAATAAGTATTGGTTTAGTTTTTGAAAAATATTAGAGAAAATACACCAGCAAAACTTGCTGGTTTTACAAATGCGACTGGTTCTCATATCCATTTTTTTGTTGCAAAAGACTTTTAAATTAAGAAATGGAATAAAAGTGAAGATCAAGTCCAAGGTGACACCAGTAAACATAGCCTGAGGGTTAAAATTTCATCTGTGTGGCTGTAAGAGCCTTTGTGCAGACCCCAGAAAAATTCACGGGCCTATCCAATATGGCATTTAAATCTCTTAAGGGTATTGTAAAATAGCACCCTGACTCAGCTCCATGTAGAGATACTTGGTAAGTAATGTAAAAATAAATAATACAATGAATTATAATTGAGTACATAGAAAACTCAAAATATTTTTAAAGTAAGTGTACTTGTTCAACTCAAAATATGAAATGAAAAGAGGCCTTTGGATATCCAAATTTCTGTAGGGAATAACAAACTGAAGAAGTTATTTGAAAACATTTTTTATTAAAAAGTTAGAATACGAGAATAGTATTCTATTGAAATACACCAGACAGTATACCCAATAGTCACACAATTTATACCAAGGAAGCATGACTGGGCACTAATTACTGATTATATTCTCAGCTGGATTCACTTCTGCATACCTTCCTCCAGCCCCACTTTTTGACAGAGAGTGTCTACTGTTTGACATGGTTTGGCTGTGTCCTCACACAAATCTCATCTTCAATTGCCACATATTGTGGGAGGAACCCAGTGGGAGGTAATCAAATCATAGTAGCAGGTCTTTTCTGTGCTGTTCTTGTGAGAGTGAATAAGTTTCATGAGATCTGATGGCAATATAAGGGGGAGTTTCCCTGCACAAGCTCTCTATTTGCCTGCTGCCATCTACATAAGATGTGACTTGCTCCTCCTTACCTTCCACCATGACTTTGAGGTCTCCCCAGCCATATGGAACTGTAAGTCCAATAAACTTCTTTCTTTTGTAAATTGCTCATTTTCGGGTAGGTGTTTATCAGCAGCCTGAAAATTGACTACTACAATAAATTGGTACCAGTAGAGTGGGGTACTGCTAAGAAATATGCCTGAAAACTTGGAAGTGACTTTGGAATTGGGTAACAGGCAGCGGTTGAAATAGGTTGGAGGGCTCAAAAGAAGACAGGAAAAATGTAGGAAAGTTTAGAACTTCCTGGAGACTTGTTGAATGGCTTTACCCAAAATACTGATAGTGACATGAGCAATAAAGTCCAGGTTGAGGTGGTCTCAGATGGAAATGAGGAACTTGCTGGGAACTCAGGCAAAGATGGCTCTTGTTATGTTTTAGCAAAGAGACTGGGAGGAATTTTGCCCCTGCCCTAGAGATTTGCGGAACTTTGGACTTAAGAGATATGATTTAGGGTATCTGGCAAAAGAAATTTCTAAGCAGCAAAGCATTCATGAGGTGGCTTGGGTGCCATTAAAGACATTCAGCTTTAAATGGGTAACAAAGCAAAAAAGTTCAGAAATTTGCTGTTTGACAATGCGATAGAAAAGGAAATCTTTTTTTCTGAGAAGAAATTCAAGCAGAATGCAGAAAATTGCGTAAGTAATGAGAAGCCAAATGTTAATCCCCAAGACAATGGGGAAAATGTCTCCAGGACATATCTGAGGTCCTCAAGGTGGCCCCTCCCATCACTAGGCCTGGAGGCCCAGGAGGAAAATGTGGTTTTGTGAGCTGGGCCCAGGGTCCTCGTGCTGTGTGCAGCTTAGGGATTTGTTGCCCTGTGTCCCAGCAACTCCAGCCATGCCTGAAAAGGGCCAATGTAGAGCTCAGGCTGTGGCTTCAGAGGGTGCAAGCCCCAAGCCTTGGCAGCTTCCACATGGTGTTGATCCTGCGAGTGCACAGATATCAAAGGTTGGGGTTTGGGAACCTCCGCCTAGATTTCAAAGGATGTATGGAAATACCTGGATGCCTAGGCGGAGGTTTTCTGCAGTGGTGGGGTCCTCATGAAAAACCTCTGTTAGGTCGGTGCAGAAGGGAAACGTGGGGTGGAAGACCCCACACAGAGTCCCTACTGGGGAACTGCCTGGTGGAGCTGTGAGAAGAGGGCCACTATCCTCCAGAGCCCAGAATGGTAGATCCATAGACAGCTTCCACCATTCACCTGGAAAAGCCACAGACATTCAATATCAGACTGTGAAGGCAGCCAGGAGGGAGGGTGTACCCTGAAAAGGCAGAGGGAGGAGTTGCCCAAGGCTATATGAAGCCACCTCCTGCATCAGCATGACCTGGATGTGAGACATGGAGTCAAAGGAGATCATTTTGGAGATTTAAGGCTTGACTGCCCTGCTGGATTTCAGACTGGCATGGGGCCTGTAGCCCCTTTGTTTTGGCTAATGTCTCTCATTTGGAATGGCTGTATTTACCCAATGCCTGTACCCCCATAGTATCTAGGAAGTAAATAACTTGCTTTTGATTTTACAGGCTCATAGGTGGAAGGGACTTGCCTTGACTCATATGAGGCTTTGGACTGTGAACTTTTGAGTTTATTCAGAAACGAGTTGGGACTTTGGGGGACTGTTGGGAAGGCATGACTAGTTTTGAAACATGAAGATACGAGATTTGGAACAGGCCAGGGGAGGAATTATATGGTTTGGCTGTGTCCCCACCCAAATCTCACCTGAAATTTCCATGTGTTGTGGGAAGGACCTAGTGAGAGGTAATTGAATCATGGGGGCAGGTCTTTCTCTTGTTGTTCTTGAGAGTGAATAAGTCTCATGAGATCTGATGGTAATATAAGGGGGAGTTTCCCTGCACAAGCTCTCTCTCTTTGCCTGCTGCCATCCACTTAAGATGTGACTTGCTCCTCCTTGCCTTCTGCCACGATTGTGAGGTCTCCCTAGCCATGTGGAACTGTAAGTCCAATAAACCCCTTTCTTTTGTAAATTGCCCAGTCTCTGGTATGTCTTTATCAGCAGCATGTAAACAGACTAGTACAGTGTTATATATTATCCCTATCTCAACACTGTATTTTGAATCTTTCAGTCAAAGATAATCTGTTGTTAAGTTCCCAGAACTTGAGATTTATAGAAACTCTGATTAAGAAATTATATCCAAGGAAACTTATGTGCACATTAACAAGACCACGAGCTCCATAACATTTGAGATGCTATCATAATGAAATGAGACTTTTGGGGGTTTCTGTAAGGGATGAGTGTACTTTGCACATGGAAGGGATGAAAATCCCTGGGGCTGAGAAGGTCGACTGAGATAGACAGTCTATAATGGTCCCCAATGAACCACACCTTTTCATATTCACTTAGACACCACACCTTTTCATATTCACTTAGACTCTTCTTATGTAGCCAAAGGAATGTCATAAAAATGGAAGAATGCAGCCTGAATTTAGGCTACATAAACTGCTGCAGATTTCATGTAGATCTCTTGGAACATTTTGAACTACCATATGAGAAGTGTGAATACCCTGAAAAAACCTATTCTGTGAGGAAGCCAAAGTTTGTCATACAGAAAGAACATATAAAGGGAAAGAGAGATTTTGTCCAACCTCCATTGTCTCAGTCATTCCAGTACAAGTGAGAAGCTTAATAAGTTAAGTTATCTTGAATTTCCCAGTCAAGGTGAGTCACCAGCTAAAAGGCAGCAAGTGAATCATTTTTGCAGATGTAGAGCCCAACTGAACTCCTGAAAAACTGTTCCACAAAATCCAGAGCAAAATTAAATAGTTTCTCTTGGCTACTAAGTTTTGCATAATTTATATGATAATACATCAGACTACGTTATTGAATGTCATATGGCACAAAAGAGTTAAAACAAAATTGTGTAATTCCATGACTATTATTATTTAAATGGATGGTTCTCTCAGAATAAAAATCTATATCAGATGAATACATATATTGATACAATGCTTGATTATTTGATTCTTTATGCTTTTAAATAATTTTTAAATCCTTAGTTTGCACTACTAATATAAACATAAATGTGAAAGAAACTGTTTTAATATTTTAATATTTAAAAGTTTAATATTTTAAAGACATAAAAACCAGATATAATTAAACTGTTAAAAAGATTCATAAACCATGATTTATATTTGCTGTATCATGACATCCCTCAGAGAAATAGCTTTACATATATTTTATTTTTTGTCATTATAAAACATGAACCAATTTAATAACTGATATATATCTCATGTGGTCAGACTCAAACCATACTCTTAGTGTGAAA